TTTTCTTCTTTCCTGAGTGGAGCCCGACTTTCCAAAATGCCCTGGTTAAGCATGTTTCTCTTTTTTCCTCGGACCATTGTATGATTATTTTGGAGGTGGATTGTACTTTGATTGCTCCCCATGCTAGGTTCTACTTTTATTCTAGGTGGATTAAGAATGAGGGGTTTTTAGAAGTTGTGGATAAATGGTGGAACCTCAAAGTTGATGGTTCTGAATTGTTTAGCTTACAAGGCAGAATCAAGAATGTTAGAAACGGTCTTTTGAATTGGAGTAGAGGAACTAAGTCTAATTCTTCTAAACAAATTGTTGATCTTAACGTTAGACTTAATGTTCTGAATCAATAGAGATGTTATAGGGATTGGAAGAGTGGAATAGATGTACAGAGCAACTTCATAAAGCTTATAAAGAAGAAGAGGTTTACTGGAAACAAAAGTCTAGAGTTCAATGGCTTAAAGAAGGGATAAAACACCAGAGACCGGCACCCTGGAGATTAACACGCATGATGATGGCCCACTCCGAGTAGTTGGTTTTCGTGAGAGTTGGGTAGATCACGGCACCGCCGCCGCTGCCACCGCTTTCCCTCACGATCTCGCACACCACAACCTCGCCACCCCTCCGAGTCCTACTCCGCCAGCGACTGTGCTGACGCGTGTTGCGGAGTCCTGGAATGCGAGTGCGACTTGGATCCAGATCCCTCGTCTGCCATTTGTGCCCGATTTTTATCGTGGCTCTTCATACTACTTGTGGTTGCCAACTATGGCTTTAACAATCACACACAACAAAAATTAGGACAAAACTGAGAAAGACACAGTGATTTTTGTGTGGTGTTAACTTACCCACATCTTCTCCTCTTTCTTCTATTTATTCTTGGTTACAGATTAACCTTAACTCTCTACCACAACATGCCATTCCACGTTTTGATCTAACTACTAAGCTACAGAAGCTACAATTATAGAAAGAAAAAAAATAACTGAAACCATCTAATTAAACTATTAAACTATTTAATTAAGCTATTAAACTATCTAATTAAGGACACGGGATGAATAAGGCTTACATAAAATAAGATTTAAATATGATTAATAAGAGAATAAGAAAGAATTTACGAAGAGAAAAGAGCTTTTATTGCGTTAACAGTGAAGTCGGCCCCTAATAGGTAGGCCGGATTCTTCCTTACAGTTGATCACGATAGCTTATTACAAGGGAGAGTAAATGCTGAGAGAGAAGGTGTTGATATAGGATTCAACAACCCCTAATAAATGAGGGGATGTCCTATCTATAGTAACACAAATCTGATATTGTTCATCCAATGTTCACCTTGTCACTTCGTACAATAACTAGGAATGACAGGCCGACGCCATTCTGACGAGCACTAAATTAGGTCTGAGGTTGATCCAATGATTACTTGTCAGGCATTAAATGCACGCATGTGGAGCGTTTAATGTTGACCACCCTGCAAACCTAGGGACACTAGGGTGGCAGATTAGGATGGCGCATCCCATCAGCAATCATCTCTTAACAAGTGGTACAATTTTATGATTTTCAAGCCTACGTGCGTGCCAGGGGTTGGTCTCGTCGAATCTTCAGGCCGAACTTTCTCTGAAACTTGTCAATGACTTCTGATCTCTTGGTAATGCTGTTATGGATGTCGACCTCGTCCCTCAGGTTCTTAGGTGTCGGCCTGAGAAGTTGTTCTACGCAACATCACTTATATCTCTACTTTTCTTCGAGTCCAGACTTCCGGCTATTCGTATGTCGAGCTGGGTTTCGGTCATTTCATCCGAATTACTGTTCCTGGCATGTGGGTCCCTTGTGGCTCAACTCGGATATCAACAACTCAAAGATAAGTACACTACGAGTGAGCAAATGATCACAGGTTTAGAAATCAACCTAGAACAGCAAATCGAGGTGACAACAACCGAGGCCAGTAACACATTATTGCCCCTTACAAGCCTCTTTGGTCAAACCCAAACTAGAACAACAACAACTGACCCAAAAAAAATAAAAAATAAAAAAACAAGAGAAAAAGAGTTTACAAAAGAATGAATGTCATTAGCAATTATATTACAACTCCAAGGGAAAGACACTTTGTCATTAAGCATCTTCACCAGCCCCTCATTGCTCAAGGAACAACGGATAGAAACCAACTTTGTCTTCTTTACCTCAAAAAGTACCCATCTAACTGCTATTAGAAGGGCCTCCTCATGTCTCCCTATGAACTTCTTTGAGAGGACCAAGTGAGCTTGACTTCTCCTTCAACCCATAAAGATCCTCCCAGCCCAATTAGCCCTTTCTTATCAAGATGATCACCGACAGTTAAAACCTGCCTCACTATGGACTTTGCTTCCTCTAAGAATGAGTGAATAGTCTGTTGCAACTTCTTAAGCTTTCCTCTCCCACATTAGAAACCTCAACAAATTCCAACCATTCTTTTTTTGCTTTTCTCACAATCACTTCAGGACTGACCCATTCTTTTTAGAAAACCTATTGGTTTTTTACCTTCCAAAGCCACCATTGGAGGTAGGTTGAAAGACAAGTTCTTTTAGCAATGTAAGGATTTCTCTTATCAGTACAAATGGTATGCCACCATTCTCTAAATGTGAATTTGGGGTTTCTATTCCATTCTAAGTAATCCCTGTTAGTTTCCAGCATAGTGAGAATCTTTGGCATTTGAAAAATAGATGATCCAAATCTTCATTCTCCTCACACAAAGTTTACGTCTCAGCTCTCCTTTCCATCCTTTTGTTGCCAACTCTGTTTTGATACTTAGATTACCAAACCAATCTCTCAAGATAAAATTCTTGATTTTATTTTTGATCTTCGAAATCTAAGTTTCTTTCCACATAGCAGCCATTGCCTTGCCCAGGTTACTTGGTTCTCCTGCACCCTTAACCAAAGAATTCAGCTTCATCAAATGCTTATACACAACTTCCACTGAGAACACCCCTTTACTTCTCCAGTGCCAAATCAACTTATCTCTGATCCCACACTGACTCAGATGGATTTTCAGAATAGCTTTTGCAACAAAAGGTGGGAAAGTTTGATAAACCAAGTCTTTATCACACTCATTCTCACTTTCTTTTTTATGAATTCACTTACTTTATCAAATCTATCTCTATCCCCAGAAGAAAACCAAGGAGAAAGGGTGAAACTCAGAATAGAAGGAACCCAAGGAGATTCTTAAACATAAATCCCATCCCCATACCCCACTAGATATCTATCCCCTAACTTAAGGGAATTTTTAGCGTGAAGCCAACTTTTCTAAAGCCAAAGCAGGCTTAACATATAACAACTTCTCCTTCCAAACATATCTCCCTTTCAATACCCTGGACATTAAGAGGTTAGGTTGAGTTATAAGTCTCCACAATTGTTTAAATAACATAGCTTCATAAAACTCTCAGGTTCTTAAAACCCAACCCCCAAGGCTTTGCCCAATGAATTTTATCACCTCCTAACTCAGATTTACCCCACCAAAACCCAGAAACACTTTTACAAATTTTTTTACAAACAACAACCGACAGTATAAAGCAAGACATAACATAATTGGGAAGAGCATCAAGAACAATTTTAATAAACACTTCTTTGTCAGCTCACTAAGAATTTTGTTCTTCCAGTTACTGAGCCTTTGAGAAACTCTCTCACTCACAAATTGAAATACTTGTTTTTTTATTTGCCTATTCCTAATGGGAGCCCAGATACTTAGATGAATCCATAATAGAAATCCCATTTAAGACCTCTCAGATTTCAGAGGTTTTATTAGAGGAGGTATTTTTGGAGAAAAGGATTGAGGATTTATTCATGTTGACTAACTTACCTGAGGCAAGACTATACTCAGACAATAAAGACATAATAAGGTGAGAATGATTCACATTGGCCTTGCAAAACAATAACGAGTAATCAACAAGGAAGAGATAGGAATCATAAGAGCATTATTTCCAATTTTAATACCTTGAAACAAGGACTTTTATAAGCTTGATTGATTAAATTGGACATAGCTTCAGTGATGATTATGAATAAGTAAAGAGACAGTGGGTCTCCTTGCCTAATGCCTCTTATAAGCTCTACAAAACAAAGAACCTTACCATCACATTAAAAGAATAAGAAGAGGTACAAACACTGGCTAAAATCCAAGAAATAAAATGATCAAGAAACCCATTTTTTTTGCAAATTTGAGCAAGAAATCCCATTTACCCTATCATAAGCTTTTGCCAAATCTAATTTAATGGCCATATAGCTGTCTTTGCCCTATATTTTGCTATTCAAATAATGCATGCATTCATTAGCAATTATCACATCTTCTGTCAGGGGCAAAGGAAGATTGAGCAGGATAAATGTACTTACTCAACATACCTTGAAGTCCGTTGGCAATGATTTTGGTTATGATTTTACACATGAAATGCTAATTAATCTAAACTTATCAACTCTAGTAAGGTTTTTCTTTGGAATGAGGGATAGAACTATATGGTTCAATTCTTTTGGCATTCTGGTTTTAGGGAAAAAAGTTTTTGATAGTAAAAATCACTTGAGTTTTAAGAATAGGCCAAACAGATTGAAAGTAACCAACACCCATTCCATCCCGACCAAGGGCTTTAAGAGGATCTATTTCCATTAAGGCCTTTTCAACCTCAGCATCATTCACTTCCCTAACCAGACTCTTATTTATTGCAGTATTGATTGAAGCAGGGGTACTAGACAAGTCACAACCCTCTACAATGGGATTAGAGGTTTTAAATATATTGTCAAAGTATCAACTATTCTCACTCATGATCTCATTATCATTTCTACAGATTCCACTATCAGACCGTAGAATATTATCAAGAGAATTGATTTTCCTTCTATGATTCACTATTGCCCAGAAGATTTGGGCCGATGACACGGGCGATGGGGGTGTTCGACAGGAGCTACAAGTGCTGGGTGCCATCCTCTGCTCTGTCCTACTGGAGATGATGCCAGTGCTCGCTGCCAAGGACAATGCCAAGGCCGTCTGAGACGCGATTAAGGTGATGCGGGTCGGTGTCGACCGAGTTCGTGAGGCGCGCCAGCAGAAACTACGCAAGGACTTCGAGAGCATTGCGTTCAAGAGTGGGAAGGGGGCCGAAGACTTCGCTCTCAGGCTCTCTAGCATCGTCAGTGAGCTGCAGGGACTCGGCAATGGCATAACCAAGCTCAAGGCGATGCAGAAGTACTTGTGCGTGGTGCCAGCAAGGTACGCGCAAATGGCGTGCTACATTGAGACACTCCTCGACCTAGAAGATATGTCTATCGAGGAGTTGAGTGGGCGTCTTGCGGCATATGACGGGCGTGGCGAACCAGAGGTGGAAGTGGGTGGTCGTTTACTTCTGACACATGAAGAATGGCGTGCTTGTTCATCCACCCGTGGAAGCGGTGAGGGGTTGGTCGTCGGCGGCGGTAAGCCACGAGATAAGGGCAAGAAGCCACAAGGCCGTCCAAGAGATGGTGGCGGAAACAAGAGTAACGGAGGTGGCAAGCCACTGCGTCGCAACAGCAAGTGCAATTACTGTGGGATCGAGGGACACTGGGCACGCGAATGTCGCAAGGCTAAGCGCGAGCGAGGTGACCAATGCAAGCGAGAGGAAGCACACATGTCACAAGGACATGAAGAAGAGTCGGCGGCTCTGTTAATGGCTATTGGGAGTGATGTCATTCCAGATGTTAGAGTCGCGCCCAGATCATCCACGGCTTCCACACCGGGTTCCCAGGCTGTGCAGGATGACAGCACAGGGGTACAACACGTCTTCTTAAATGAAGAGCAAGGTGTGCCCACTGCCACTACGGACGGTCATTGGTTCTTAGACACCGGAGCTAGCAATCACATGACTGAGAAAATAGCAGCATTCACCGAAATTGACGAAAAAATCAAAGGCATGGGCAAGTTTGGTGATGGTTCTATGGTTGAAATCCAACGGCGTGGATCAGTTCTGTTCGCGTGGAAGAACAGTGAGCACAAGGTTCTGACCGAGGACTACCATATTCCTCGGCTGAAAACCAGTATCATCTCGCTAGGACAACTAGCTGAGGTGGGTTTCAAGACCGTCATCAAAGAGGATGAGATTTTTCTATACGATCGTCGTCATGTTTTGCTCGCTAATGTCAAACGAATGCGAAATATGTTGTACTCTGTGATCTTGACTCCGACAAAACCGGTGTGCTTACTCGCTCAGGCTGGAGATGTAGCGTGATGCTGGCACGCGCGCTACGGTCATCTACATTTCCACGGCCTGCACAATCTCACTATCAAAGGCATGGTGAAAGGTGTTCCGACAATCAATCGGCACGAGCAGATGTGCTCTCGGTAAGCAACACCGTGCTCTATTTTCTCACACCATAGCGTATCGCGGGAAAGAATGTCTGGAACTCACCCACGGGGACCTCTACGGTCCGATCACCCCGACAACGCTTGCCGTAAACAGGTACTTCCTTCTTATCGTCGACGATGCAAGCAGGTACATGTGGGTAGAGATGCTGAAAAGCAAGGATGAAGCTTTGAGGTTCTTCAAGAAGATCAAAGCAGTAGCTGAGAATGAGTCTGGTCTCATAATAAAGGCATTCAGAAATGATTGTGGCAGTGAATTTATCTCAGCCGAGTTCGCTGAATTTTGCAGCGAGCATGGACTACGACGACACACCACAGCCCCCTACTCGCCATAACAAAATGGCATAGTAGAACGATGGAATCAGACCATCGTTGAAATGGCAAGATGCATGATGAAGAGTATGGGGGTGCCAACAGTGCTTTGGGCAGAGCCAGTCAAGGTAGCGGTGCGTGTTCTGAACAAATCACTTACACGTGCTCTTCAAGGTGTTACACCATATGAAGTCTGGCACAAGAAAAAGCCCAATGTGAGCTATCCGTGCACTTTTGGGTGTGTAGCTCATGTGAAGACCATGGGACCTGGAGTAAAAAAATTGGATGATAGGTCTGTGGCCATGGTGTTTGTCGGGTATGAGGATGGTGCGTTAAGCATATCGTGTTTATAATCCGACCAAGAAGCGCCTCCACATCACTAGAGATATGATCATTGAGGAAGAGCGGCAGTGTGACTGGGCAAAATCAGGAGCAGAACTGGAGCAGTCAAGGGAATTTGTCATCATTTATAATGATGATGAAGAACTGGTGCATGGATCACCATTAGCACCCGCACATGTGTCTCTACCACGCACACCTGACAAAGAAGAAGCAGTAACTCTGGGCGGAAGTCGGGCTCAGAGGTATAGCCTAGATGATGGGCTTGATTCAGAGACTAAAGAAGATGGTTCTGCACTGAGAAATAAGGAAGTACCAACAGTTGGGCCGACCCAAGGACATCAGATGCAAACGCGCTCCAGGGATGGGATAGTGAAGCCCAACCTAAAGTAAAAAGATGACGAGTTCATTTGTAGTGGTCTCTGTCATTTCACTACTGAGGAACTTGCTACTGATGAAGAAGCTTTAAGTGCACCAGCTTGGAAGAAAGCATGCAGGAAGAGTTGAGCGTGATCATCGAAAACCAAACATGGGAGCTAACAACTCTTCCTCCTAGACACCAAGCAATCGGTCTAAAATTGGTCTTTAAGTTGAAGAAGGATCCCGCCGGGAAGGTTGTGAAATACAAGGCCAGGTTAGTGGCTAAGGGCTATGTTCAAGGACAAAGAATTGATTTTGAGGAGGTTTTTGCCCCAGTGGCTCGCATAGAGACTATGAGACTGCTATTGGCCCTTGCTGCTCACAGTAGATGGCAAGTACATCATATAGACGTCAAGAGTGCATTCCTGAATGAAGATCTCGCAGAAGAGATCTATGTTCAGCAGCCGGCGGGTTTCATCGATGCTGGCCATGAGGAAAAGGTGTTGCATCTGAGGAAGGCACTATATGGGCTTCGACAAGCACCACGAGCGTGGAATGCCAAGCTGGACGATTCTCTAGTGTCGCTCGGCTTCGAGAAGAGTCCCTTGGAGCATGCGTTATACAGACGGGGTGATGCAATATCATTCTTACTAGTAGGCGTTTATGTTGATGATTTGGTGATCACTGGCACCAATACTGAAGATATCGAAGCGTTCAAGGCACAAATGCGGAAATTATTCCGAATGAGAGACCTAGGTCTATTGTCATACTATCTCGGTATTGAAGTACAATAGGAAGCAGAGAATATCTCAATTTGTCAAGAAAGCTATGCGAGGAGAATTCTTGACACAACAGGCATGAGCAATTGCAATCCATGTCATACTCCAACATAGATTAGGAGCAAGATTGGGAAGCGCAACGGCGGGGATGCAATCAACACTACACACTATCGTAGCGTGATCAGGAGCCTGTGCTATCTTGTGAATTCCTTTCCGGACATTGCATATGCGATGGGAATTGCAAGTCGCTTCATGGAGGCACCTGGAACACAACACTGGGCTTTGGTGAAGAAAATTCTACGTTATGTGCGAGGCACAATCAGCTACGGGTGTGTGTACCAGGCTGGATCAGGAGAATCAGTGATGGTTGGCTTTAGCGACAGCGATCATGCTGGTGATGTGGATGAGCGCAAGAGCACTACTGGTACTTTGTTCTTCCTATGCTCAAACGCCATCTTGTGGGCTTCACAGAAGCAGAAGATTGTTGCTTTGTCTTCGTGTGAAGCTGAGTATGTTGCGGCATCGGCAGCAGCTTGGCAAGGTCTCTGGCTCACAAGGGTGCTCGCTGAAATAAGTGGCACAAAACCGGCCAAGTTTCAGCTTCGTGTGGACAACAAATCAGCCATCGCATTTGCATGAATTCGATTTACCACGACAGGAGTAAACATATAGAGGTGCGACATCATTTCACCAGAGAATGCATTGAGACAGGCAAGATGGATGTCGAGCATGTCTGAACTGAGACAGGCAAGATGGATGTCGAGCATGTCTGAACTGAACAGTTTGCTGATATTATCACAAAAGGGCTTGGACGTGTGAAGTTTGTGGAAATGAGACTGAAGCTCGGAGTCGAAGATACGAAGCTGATTGAACAGGATTAAGGGAGTGAATTGTAAGCCCTATTAATCTTGTGTCCTTAATTAGATAGTTTAATGGCTTAATTAGATAGTTTATTAGTTTAATTAGATGGTTTCAATTATTTTTTCTTTCTATAATTGTACCTTGTGTAGCTTAGCAGTTAGATCAAAACGTGGGATGGCACGTTGTGGTAGGGAGTTAAAGTTAATCTGTAACCAAGAATAAACAGAAGAAAGAGGAGAAAATGTGGGTAAATTAACACCACACTAAAATCACTGTGTCTTTCTCATTTTTGTCCTAATTTTTTGTTGTGTGTGATTGTTGAAGCCATAGTTGGCACCCACATTTTAATCGTTGACCGATTTCGATCCTCATCATGAATTTATGCTATTTGGTCTTTTGCTTTGAATAATAATAATAATAACAATAATAATAATAATAATAATACCACAATATCATCTTTGTTAAAAGGATCCAAAACCTTTCGGCCTCATACAAAAATCGACTGATATTATACACTAACACGAGAACCAAATTATGATCCCGGGGACCCCGTACTGTTTTTTTTTTTTTTTTTTTTTTTTAAAAAAAAAAGAACAAAGAAAAAGGAAAAAATCAGCTGGACAGCCTAAGATGCGCCCTTGGATAGTAGCAGCACGCCATGCCAAAAAAGCTGTGGCTCACCTGGTCATCCAGCAGCAGCACACTCCTGAGCTCATTCTGCTTGTGCGCGGAGCTCGACCTGCAGAAGGAGAGCTGCTTCCTCGTGGCCGGGCATCTCTCGACCACGTCCACGTCCCACAGCATCTTGTTGCGCGTCGTGCCTCTGTGGGGTAAGTCGTGGGTGATAGCGTTCCTCCAAGGAGGGAGCCCCCCGTTTGGCCGCAGGAAGTTTCCCCACACGGACCGCAGCCTCACCTGCATCCCATCACGGTACGCCTCCCACGACTGCTGCCCCCGCGCCTGGACAACGCTCTTCGCGGTCACCCCCGGGAGGAAGGGCTTGCCCGACGCCGTCAGGTATGTGCCGTAGCAGCTCCGAAGGCAGATGCAGTCCCTGTCGCCCGCCAACTCCACCGCCCAGATAGCGTTCTCGGCTGATGGGTCCCTCCCGAGGCTCACGGTCCTGCGGTCCTCCTCAGCCACCAGGTATTTGTCACCGTGGCTAACCAGGCGGATCGTCTTTGCTCCTATGAAAAGATCCATTACTTTTTTCTTTTTTGTTGTGGCTAAGAGGAAACGATTGATCTGTGGATGGTGATGCGCGACAAATGCAATGAACCTGCTTGAGAATCTTTCATAAGAACATGAAAAATAACGAGACGCATATGTGAATTGCTGTTGATTAAAATTCAATAAACCCATTACTTGTAATGATTTGATATGCCTTGGAGGAACGTTGCCCGTTTGGGAAATCTTGAATTCCCTCCTCGATTTCTTTGTTAATGTTGAGCCCTGTAAGCCTAAAAAAGTTGGATGGAACGGGGAAATGAGGTTACGGGGCTAGATTACAAGAAGCATTCACGCAAGCAAACTCGAGGTTCTGAATGGTGAAGGCTGCTAAGATCTGTTGGAGAACAATTGTTTCATCTTGAGATATTTATCCAACTGTTTACTTATTACGTGTATATTTCGTGTTAGTTTTTCATTATGCTGTTAATTGTATGTATTTTTTATTTGTGTTGATTTTAGCACACACATTTCGATTTTGTCTATGGTAATAGTTACTTAACATAGCAACAGACAATGCTAAAACTGAGGGGCATCCTACATTCTCGCCAACACCTTGTAGACACGGTTAACTGTTAAAATTTTCGTGCATGGCATATGTAATTAATTCTGTATCATCCTACATGCATATAATTGTTGATTCTGCAAAAAATCATGGCTGACTTAGAGATTATAGTTGAAACTTTGAATTCAAACAAATGCTACTTGGGTGCTATGTGTGCTTATTTGTGTGTGTGTGTGTTAATATCAACTTTTTAAATTCTAGTGCTGGAAAAAGAATTTTATAGTTCATGTTTTTAAATTCATTTGGAAAAAATGATTATTGAATGCTACGGTCGCGTTACGGAACCATTCCGTCGGGGTTGGTAACCGTTTGATCATCATGTAACCGTCGGGGATAGTTGATCTAACGGTTACAAACCCTGACGAAATGATCCGTGACGGGTCTGTATCATCTCCCTATTTGTTGACCAAAAATTAGCATATATCAAGTGTGGTACAATAGAATTCACTATACTTTTAAAAACATTAATTTATAGTATTTACTATTAGCTTTTCAAGGGAAAAAAAAAACATAGTCCTCAACTCAGATAAGACATAAGAGTACAAATTGATAACTCATGTAACTCTCAGTACAATGCATGAATGAGTACTTGATAAAAATTAAGAAAAATGGTAAAGGAGTACCTAACAGAAGCAATTCAAGAGCCAGACAATGATGAACCTTACTCAGTTTGGAAAAATATCATCATAAACCTTATCACTCATCATCATTGGACCTCTGAGAAAAGGGAAAAAACAACAAGTCATAAACTCACCATATTTTATTTCTAAGAAAATTCAATGGACCTCACAGTACAGAATCAATACAAAACTGTGTATTCTTACTTGTGTCACCCACTCTTGAACATGTGACCGATCTTGACCCGAAATTCTTCGTTCCCATTATTATCTCGTTGTTCTTGCTCGATTTTCTTTGCAGACACTGCCAATGATTCTGAACAAGAATCCACCTCAATCGACGCCAGAGTCATAATCTCGCCTATCTCACCTGGAATCTCCCGCAGATTGTTGCAATTTCGAATCACCAACTGCTCAAGACTAGGAAAATGCTGGCTCGTCTCCACAATCCATTCACAAAAGTCCAATATCTCAAGTTTCAAGAAACGAAGCTGCTCGAATTCTCCGTCCCTCGTCTCCCATGTTTTTCCCACAAAAGCATAATACATCAACTTGAGAACCTCGAGATTCACCAATCCCCCGATCACAGACACCTTTTCCCAAGGCAAGCGCAGGCCGTCCAGCGTCACCTTCTTTATATTCGAGGGGAAATTAATCTCCGCATTCTTATAACCGCGCAAGGTCGTCATTTTGAGAGACTCAAGCCGAGTGAGAAATTCAAGGTTGGGATAACGAAGTTTTCCCTGCTCGTCCGGAAAGGGCTGACATCTGCATTTGAGTTTACAGAGATCGGGCGAACATCTCATCATATTCTCTTCCTTTAGATTGCTTATGTATACATTTGAGAGGTACTTGAGGTTGTTTGTCACGGAACTGTCACAATTCTCGTCGAAAATAGCTAGTGGGGCTAGTTGGAGGTGCCTCAGCTTCATCATTTTCAGGATGCTCGGGTGTATATCCACTATCCTCGATGTCTTTACAATGAGATATTCAAGGTTCACGAGCTGGCTTATCAAGGGTGGTGTCTCGTTAGCGGACAAGTATCGCAAGTGAAGCAGGAATCTAACTGCTCCTGGATCACACTCACTGTCTTGCAAATCCAAGGCCCTGAGTAATTTTATGCTGAGGACGTTGCGCTTTGTCTTCAAATGTCGGCCGAAGAAAGAGCGTACGTGCGGCATGAAAAAGGGTCTGAAAATTTCAATCCGGGCTTTGGAAACATTAAAGCATAAGCAGTGATGTCGCTCGTATATCGAGCAGTTTCTGAAACAAAAAAAAAAAAAAAAAGTAATAAAAGAAAAAAAATTGAAGTGAGTGTGTCAGCTTCTCCCAATGCATCAACGCAACTGTAATTAAAGGGAGCCAAAACGTTGAATTCGTAAGCTTTTCAATTTTATAACAAAGTGAATAAAGATTTAGTGAGTAAACTTACTCATCCATTAACTTCAGGAGATTCTCTTCTCCAGCTTTTCTTAAGCACAAGTCATGCAACAGATCATGAATGACACATGCTTTACATCCACCATCATATCTTCTCTTTGCAACCATTACTAGGCTTTTATCAATTAGCTCAATCAAATATTCTTCGGCTACAATCTCTGCACTCTTATTCTCTTCTTCCTTCACATATCCTTCAGCAATCCATAGCATTATCAGCTTCTGAGCTGGAATTTCTGCGTCCTCAGGAAATGCCGCAAAGTAAAGAAAGCATGGTTTCAAATGTCCAGGTAGATGCCTATAACTGAGTTCCAATATTCACATCCACATTTTCCCATGTACTCTTTTCCCTGTCCAAAGTTGATAGAATACCCGCTATAACAACCACTGCAAGTGGTAGTCCACCGCAATTTGCTGCAATTGTCTTCCCAACTCCTCGCAAACTAGTAGGGCAAGGCTCATCCTTAAACACCTTCTTCTTCAGCAGCTTCCAACATTGGTCCTTCGACAAGGACGGAAGCTCATAGATTATGCAACTAGGTGGAGCCGCGTCTTTGTTCCTAGTGGTGAACAATATCCGGCTTCCATTACGATCATCTGGAAAATATCTCAAAAAATTATCCCACACGTTTAAACTCCAAATGTCGTCCAGTACTATTAGGTACCTTCTTCCTATTAGACTTCTGTAGAGGTGGTCGGCCAATTCTTCTTCTTCCATATTCAAAATTGCATCTTTGTGGAGCTCGCTAATCGAACTAGTCAAAATATTAATCAGAAGATTTCTCCTCTCATACGTTTGAGAAACAACCGACCATGAGCGTTTGTCAAACCTATCATAGTTAACCGAGCGATGATTGTATATCTTCCTTGCTAAAGTAGTCTTACCGAGCCCAGGCATTCCGTAGATTGATATAACTTGGAGCTGCTCGCCTTCCCCTATTAGCTTGCCCAAAACATTTGTCACATTATCATCAAAGCCAATTACAAGGTCACCAACTTCATTATTTCTCTTGGCTCGTGATGATAGAGGCGTATTCTCAGTCTTCGCAACTTTTAAGATTCCCTTTTGATAGCTCTCAACGATATCCTTGTCATAATCCCTTTCGATTTCTTGGAGCCTGCTCCCAATAAGCTTCATCTTGTCAACAACATGAGGGAGCCTGAGGGAGAAGTACCAAAGAGGAATGTTCTTAACCAAAAACGAATTGATTAGATATTCAGTTTCGTAAGCCACGTCTATAAGCCGCACCGCGGGTTCTCTTGGCTCCTCTGTTTCTGAATGCAAATATGTCCTTATATTCTCGTGGGCAGATAACGCAAACATAAGCTCGTGAAAAATTACTTTAATTTGATCCTTGAGATCAGTAATCTCACCGCAATCACGGTTCAATAAATCCTCGAGAATGTAAAATAGAGAATCAACAATTGAAAGTGAATCCACAGCAGGACGGGTCTTTCGATAAATATCACCAGCATCCACAACAATAGACGGAAGCATATTCGATATATTAGTTTTCAAAAGGTCCACACGTTGAAACAGAGAATCCATGGCCTTTACGATTCTCGTAGTCACGGATTTAAACTGCTGATCAGTGGTGAAAACGAAGCAATAAACCAAACTTCCGGCTAGGTTTCCGACGACCACAAACTCCGCTAAGAGATTGTGAACATGCTCGAGCTCGGCATGCAAAAATGGCGTATCGCCTAAAATACTAACCAGGAATCCCAGCTCTCTCTTAAGATTGTCAACTTGATCATCGAACGGGCGTATTCTGGGATGCTGCCATAATTTAAGCACGAAAATCATAAAATCCGCCACGAGTTCGCTACTTCGTAGGGTTCCGTCGCCTTCGGGAGGCTGCCGGAGCTCCGGCACCATCAGCAGTTCACGGAGGTTTTCCTGGATATACGAAAAACTTCCGAATCGCTAGCTCTGAGCGGGCTAAGTGGAGCCGAGTGGAAGGAGGAGTTGATGCGCTCCATTTTTAGGGCGTAATCGAGAACAGCTGTGAGGTGAGATTTCGTCCAGGGAATCTCGAAGTCGGCGTCTGCCCGGCGAGATTCCCAATTGAGCAATGCCCGACGAAGTTCCGGCAGGTTTACAGTTCCAGTGCAGGAAGAAGCTGCGTTTCCCATTGTTGTGTAAGAGGGATTGAGTGATCAAGGAATGAGGAAAGGTTCGAGATATTTTGGTGTGCATAGTACAATTATCGTGAACAAGCCAAATATGGTTGCTTTTGAAAAAGGTGAGAAAAAACCAAATAGTGACATGACATGAAAAAGAAACATGGATAATGGCTACAGGCCAATTAGGGGGCCACACTTTGGGAATTTTTTACTTAAAAAAAAAAAAAAAAAAAAAAAAAAAAAAAAAAAAAAAAACCAATAAATAAGTGGGAAAAAAATTGGACGAAAATAAAAAACACGTATTCAAAAAATACATTTTCTAAAAAAATTAGTTAAAAACTGTATTTTTTGAATACGGTTTACTTAAATTTTCAAACTAAAACGTATTCGTTGAATACGTTTTATTTAATTATCTTAATTAAAAATTAATTAACAGGAAAACGTATTCGTTGAATATGTTTTTAAAATAATTTTTTTTTTGAATTTTTTTAATTACAGAAACGTATTTACAAAATACGTTTTATATTTATTTTTTATTTTTTTGAATTTTTTAAAACAGAAGAACGTATTTCATAAATACGTTTAATAATTCGATTTTTTTTAAATTATTTTTAATCATGAAAACGTATTTCATAAATACGTTTTAAATTTTTTCAGATTTTGAATTTAATTTAATAGTAAAACGTATTTGTTAAATACGTTCTTAAAAGAAAAAAATTGAAAAAAATTGGTAAAATAAAATTTACCCAAAAATCAAATATACCTGTTCGAGCAACTAATATCAACATATCCGCCCAATAATAATCCAACATACACTATAACGAAACAAATGAAAAAAATATAATAATTTGTTAAACAAACAATATATACAAAACGATATAATTCAGTTTGTACATACAATCCAACATTTGAAAATGAAACACAAAATCCACGAATGCATCACACCTAACTCATTAGGGGCGTATGGATTCGGAGGCTTGCGCCGAGCATATACAATTTGAGGTTGAGGTGTAAGAAGCGTTTCAACTTGAAAAGCTTGGTCATCTTCTTCATCATATGAGTAATTCAATTGGAAAAAAGAAATCATAAATTGAACTGGAAACAAAAAAAATTGTTAATTTAAAAATCTCACCTTGTTGAGGCTCGGGCAGCTGAGGTATATAGTAGTCCTGGGCGGACTGCTGCTGAGGTGGGAAGGGCTGGGACAGCTGAGGTATGTAGTAGTCCTGGGCGGACGGCTGCTGAGGTGAGAAGGGCTGGGGCGGCTGAGGTGAGAAGGGCTGGGGCGGCTGAGATGGGAAGGGCTGGGTAGACGACTGTGTTGGAACCCATGAGGATCTCGATATGCACAAATCACGGACAAACATTCAACATAAACCTATGCGCAGCGGATCTAAAGGTTTGATGAAGAAAACTTACTGCTTAAAATTTATGTAGATCTGGTTGGCCCGGACAGATGACCGCAAATCAAATCTTCTCGGAATCGAACAAACTTGACCAATCCAGAAAGCTGACGTCACGGCGAAGTCAACGGCGTTTACCGGTCGGAAATCGGGGTTCTCACGCGCTCTCATGCGCGATCACAAGCTCCAGCAGCAGCTCCCTTCCGGCGGCGCGTGCGGCGGCGGCTGGCGGCGATCTCGACGGCGATCTCTCCGGCTCGTCGTCCTGGTCGTCGTGGTATGGTCACTTGCTGGTTTTGGTCTCTGGTTTGGATGTATGATAGATCTGATTGGAATCCCGTATACCTTAAGATCTTCTACTGTATTCTCAAACAGCTATCTAGATCTTGTATCAGTGGAGCACAAGAAATAGAACTACTCCTTGGAAGAGAGAGAAAGAGCGGGGCGGACGATTCCCAAAAGATGTGGGATTGTGTTCTCTCTTCCATGAGCCTAATGCTGTATATATAGAGCTACAGTAGGGACCCTAAGGAGAATAGGATAAGGGCTTCTAATATATTAATACTGTGGAGCAACCCCACAATTAATATATTAATAATATCAAAGTCCACCACAAAAATATTATTGCACTCCCCTCACCTATCCCAAATTAGATTTGAGACTCCTTATTATAATTATCCGATTTACCTCCCCATGTTTAAGATATAATGTCCATTAATTAATTCGATCACTAATAATCAAGAATTAATTAATATATTATATTATGCCGGAATAATTCCACCTGCAGGGTTTAGCATAATATTCCTTAATGAACTCACTTCGGGGACATCATCATACTAACGCACATGGTGACTGTAAATATCCTAATATCACATCGAACACATAATGTCATTACCCAATTCATTAAGTATGTCGACCCAGCTTGGATCTCACCCAAAGAATCAAAGCAACAACAATTATGTGCACATGCCTATTTAATATCTTACGGGTTAAGAGCACGCAATAATTAACTGAGGCCTAGTTCGTTTACGACGATCAGTATAAAACGAACATGCCTCTCTGGGATCCTGTTCAATACATAAATGTACTAGCGCAACTAATCGGTCAAGACAAACCGTACGGTTGACACTACAACCGTTCCGATGGGTTGTTCAATTCCATCTAGGTTGTGAACCTATGATTCTTGTTTCGCAAGTAACTGATATAGTGATCTTCGGTACGCCCGATGACGACCCACTTATCTACATGCAAAACAACAGAACGTGAAACCTATTTAACCAAACATGATTCTCATTCATCAAGAAATAACAAGTGTAATATCCACTAAAGCAAAGCTTAAGTATATAACACCAACAGACTGAGCGTGGGGACGGACCCGAGATCTTCTACACCCACCAATGTTGGGGGCGGGTTGATGCCTGGCGGTGTGTGACTGTGTCTTCATGGGGAGAATGTATTTGTCCTGGGAGAAAACTTGACTGGACGGCCCTCCATGTGGAACACCCTGACCCCCAGCTGTCAGAGAAGAGTATGCATAGTTGTATGACTGTTGGAAGCCGAGTTGCGCTTCTGGAGGGATTTGAGGCAGATATGGCTGCATATCGGATAATCCGCCATAAATCTCGTTAATGCAAGTATGAGCGTCCTGGTCCGGTTTGGAACGGATCAATCTTTGTCCTCTCCGGTAGAACGCCGGAAACCTCCAAGTAACTCACACACCGTTGTGTCTGGTGAAGAGCCTCCGATGCTTAAGTCAGTATGTGTATGGGTATACTGAAGTGAAGAATGAATAGAATGCCTTAAGGGAGAAAGGCTCACCCCCTTTATATAGGGGTGAGATACCTGCCCTAATAGTTACCCGGATAAGGATGAGTTGGCTGCCCAAGCTGCCCGTCCGTACTCTGACATATCGCGCACATGTCAGAGGTGGCGCAGGGCGTTGGGAGCTGTCAGAGGTGGTTATCGATATCCACCAATGCATTCTCGGCACGTGTCCCCCTGCACATGGGGTAAACATTCTCCTGAGATTCGGTTAGAGGTTCCCACACGCGCCTGTGACTAGGCCGACTGTCGGACCCTCGAGGCGATCGACCTGATGAGGTCGAATATGTTGCTCGATCATTTATCTGGTCGAGCGGTGGATTGGTCGACTACCTATCTAATCGATTATCTGAATGTTCGATCTTCCCGCCTTTTGGCTTGGCTTCCTCTTGGTTTGACCTTCTCGACCGGCTAAGCAGACCGGTTTAGCCTTGTGTATATAATATCCCATATCATCTAGTCCCCCCCACTCTGGTCGAGTCTGAATGACTCGATCTAAGAGTGAATTGGTATTTATCGACCTCCTAGATGGCTCGTCATCAGATATCGACCAGCCGATAGGTTTCCCGCTCACGTTTTCAAATAATTCCCCATTAATTGCTAGAAATAAAGTCGTTTGTTTCAAGTCTTTTCTGTCGCGCCCGCTTTTCTACCACGCGTCATGTCTGTTGCATGTGTCAGGCGTTGTAATTATTACGCCTCCTCGTCTAACGCGTCCGTTTTGAATTCCGCGAGAATTAATACTCCCCACCATAGGATCTAGCTTTGATCCAACGGCCCTTATCTTTCAACCCTTCAATCTTCCAAGGTATAAATTCCATACTTAGCGTCTTTTTAGACTTTTTCCACTTCTGTAACTCTTGTCTTTCTTTGTATCTAAAAATCCTTTCTGCAAAACCCTAACTTTCCCAGCGATTCCTCCTGCAATCTTCAAGCTTTTCTAATCCTTTCATCTGCCGTCATGAGTAAGTTACTCTTTACTTGAATTTACATTTCTTGCGCTTCGAATTCGTGTGTTTTTTAATTTTTCAAATTGGGCATCTTGGATCTTGCTGACTGGGCATCTTGAATTTGTGTATTGAGCGTTCTTGTTTGATTGTCAATTGCTGTGGATTTTGCTTCCTTCTTAAAGATCCCCCGGAATCTTTGCTCTTCCGCTTTAATTTCTCTGAAATCACCCCCTTCGTAGAACCCTAGTTTTTTTTTCTCTTTTTGATTCCGTTTTTGTTGTTTGAATTTTTTCTTTTTCAGATAATGTACCTCCATCTCCTTCTTCGACCACTTCCTCTGATTCAGTCCAGATACTACCTTCTGCACTTGAGGCTGTTCCTCTCTCGATTCTTCGCCCTGGCGATACTGTTCCTATCCGTGTTTTCACAGATCGCGTTGCTTCTTCCAACTCCGGGGATACTATGGATAACATTCCTCTCCGCCGCCGTCGACCTGCTCTTGGCGCGTTAGACGAGCCAGAGGAGGATGAGGTTATTTCTCCTCAGCCCACTGCTCCTCCATCTTCATCCATCCCGGCTTCTTCCTCCCCACCTAAACGATCCTCGACCAAAAAACTCTCCCAGCGTTCCTCTTCTACCTCCCTCTCTCACCCCTGGTTTAATCTTAAGAAAATCGGCCAACCTCTTGGTTGGGCATTCCTTATGTCTTCTTCCTCTGACAAATATGATCATCCTCCGCGTGATTGTTATACTTTTTTCGAGATCCAGTTCAAACTCGGTCTCCGCTTCCCCCTAAGTCCCAAGTTGCTTCGCATTTGCGATTGGTTCTCACTTC